TAAACATTCCTAACAAATGGTTAAACTTAATTATGTCATGTGTTACTCAAACTTCCTTCCAATTAGTCACTAATGGTGAAATTCTCCCTTCCTTTAATCCTACTAGAGGAATTTGACAAGGAGACCCTCTATCTCCCTACCTACCTCTTTGTTATATGCATAGAAACCCTATCAGGTCCAATCAACATCGACATACAATCAAAAAGACTGATTCCTTGTAGAATTGCCCATAATGCCCCAAGCCTATCTCATCCCTTTAATACATTCTGCAACAATGTAGGAGAAACGATTAATTTAAGCAAGTCCTTAATGTTAATCTCAAAGAACATCCCTTGACAGCTAAGAAGAATACTATCATCAAATCTGCCTATTACCTCAAAATTTGAGAAATATTTAGGGTTACTAGTGTAGATAGAATCAATAACAAATTATCCTCCAAGAAGAAAGACTGTTTATCCCTAGCCGGTCGCCATACTTTCCAAAATTACGTGATTCCCAAAGTAATTACAAGGAAAATAGGTTCTATCAAAAAATCTTTTTTATGGGGTTCTCAAGGAAAACTAAGTAAACATCATGTGGGTTGGAAACAAATGATCAAACCCATGAATTTTGGTGGGCTAGGCTTAAAGGAAGAGAAACTCTCCAATCAAGCTTTCTTAGTCAAACTAATATGGAAACTCAAAAACAATCAAAATTCCATATGGGCTCAAATCCTAACAACTAAATATGGTCGAGGAAAGCAGTTCTTTAACTACATTTCTCATACTAGAGACTCATTAGGATGGAAAAGTATAGCTAAAGGAATAACTTTCTTGAAATAGGATAACAAATGGGGGTACCTCAAATTTTTGGATGGACCCATGGATCACCACTATGCCTCTCCAATATATCTATCTCACAGGGCCTTTACCCCAAAACAATCTCTAGTACATGGCTGATTGTATCATTAACTCAAAGTGGAACCTTACATAGGTAAGTTCCATATTACCCAGCTCTATTATTCATTCAATATATGCCATCCCATTAATCAACAACCCTTGATAGAAGATAGATGGATCTAAAGTTCTCCAAAAGATTGTAATGTCACAGTTAAAATTGCCTATAAGGTTTTGTTTATAGAGAAGTATGGATTCGGTTAACCATTTTCTCTCAAAGTTTGGAAACTTCCTTGCCCATACAAAGCCAACATTTTATGTGGATGTGTTTGTTAAATAAAATTCCAACAACAACACTTGCATCATAGACATATTATTGAAAGCCCTATTTGTTCTTGATTTACGCCATTTTTGAGAGTGTTTATGTTAAAAATAAGTCCTTAGAAATAAGTGTTTATTCGAATAAGCACTTATTTGCTTTTGGCATCTAGCTTTTTCAAATGCTTATTTTAAAAAATAAGTACTTATTTCATATTGAGCATTTGCTAGTCTTTTCTCCAATAAGCATATGTGACTATTTTGTCCTTTATTTTTTTCAAACTTTCAAAATATACCTTGTGGGTGGTGGTCTCTCTCTTTGAGACTTAGTAAACATCAATGACTCTCAGTTCATTAGACGTAAGTTAAAGAAATGAAAACACCATTGGATACGAGCGTAACAGGAGAAGACTCCTGCAAACGTTACAATTGAGAAGCGACCCTTCTCCTTATGTGTCACAACTCTGTTTTGATGCTCTTGTATTTCCCATTTGTAAGAACTTGTATGGTCATCAGAATTAGAAACTCATAGGATGGACAAACGGTTAAATAGGAACTAGCAGTTTGGTCATCAACATGGTTTTCAAAATTGGACCAGACCAAATCGTCGGACAGAAAAAACTGGGTGATCGATTCAGTTTTACCCCAGAACCGTTATTTCGCCAAAAACCATTGATTTGGTCAGCTAACCACTGACCCGAGTGGCGGAACCGTTTAAACCATCCAACAGTTTTGGTCGTTTTTTATGTTTTTTATTTTTTTTTTGTCAAAATGGATTGTCCATTCGGTTTAAACAATCAGACCATTTGACTCGGGAACTGGACCCCTAACTGGTTCATTGTCTGATTCGGTTTTAAAAACCTTGGTCATCAGAACCAGCAGTTGAAGATGAACCTAGAAGTTGTCCTTGAGAATTTGAAGTCCGATTGAGCTACCTGCTCCCTACTACAACATAATTAGGGTGCTTCCATTCGAGTGGGGGCTCAGACCCAACACTAGGTTTGGCCTCGAGAATGGTGGGAAGGAAGTTGAATGGGTCTCTTATGATTCTTTAGCAACTTAGGCCACGTTTTGGTTCAATTTTCATTCTTATCCAAGATGAAATTCTAAAATGGAAAAGAATGGGTAAAAATAGGCAGAATGAGAAAATATTGCTATGAACCAAACACTTTTTTCCTAAAAATGAATTCTTTTCAGACTAATAAGTGTCCTATGTTTTTTTTTTTATGAATAATAGTAAATTTTATTAGTTCAAAAGCTGATTTAGAGTTGTGAATTCACACAACACCCCAGGGAGAGGCACAAGCTATAGCCCATCCTTGAATCTTACAAGTAAACTAGGAAAGAAAAACATGAATCACAGTTGAGCCGAAAACAATTTTTTCCGATTTACCCCTTGCTTAGCTAACACATCGGACAAAGTATTTGCTAATCTCCCCACCCACTGTAAAGAGACCAACATATTCCTTGTCAACCAAATGAATTTCTTCATTTCATTATTGTAGCACCATATAACATCTTCTTTCAACCAACCCATCACCACTTTGGAATCTCCTTCAATTACTAGATTCTATACCCCCGGCTAGTTTGCAAATTGCACCCCTTGTACAGGAGCTAATAGCTTTGCCCTGATGAAGTCCCCAACTCCTAAAGGACCCGAGTAGAGTAACATAATCTCTCCCTTCTCATTTCTCAAGACACCCCCCATTCCGGATAATCCTAGGTTACCCATGCTACTTCCATCAAAGTTCAGCTTTAGTGAGCCTTTAGATGGAGGAGACCAGCTTGTAATTGACTTATCCTTTACAGGTGAACACCTTGCTATTGCTGACCAGTTTCTTCAAAGGTCATTAAAGGATAATTGATGAAAGATTTCCAAAGTCTTCAGCCAAAGTATTGCCATATGCAACACATAGTCTTTCAATTCTTGACTACTACTTTCCTTTTCTTGAAAGATTCTAGCATTCCTTTGTTCCCAAAGAGTCCAAATCAGGGCAATGTGAGCACATCTCCACATAATTCTCCCTCTTTTTGTAGGCCAAGAGAAAGTAGAATGGTTAAAGATCATGTGAACTTCTACTGGAGTTGTTCGAGTGGGTACTAGAGATGTGTCAAATGGAGTCCACCACCAATAAATAACTATAAACTTAGTACATATGAAGTTGTTCGAGTGGGTCAGACATGCCAACTGCTGTTGGCATATTTAGAGAACAGAGGAGACGATGGCATGGAGGCTACCTTAGGAAAATTGGAAACACAACCATTGAAGTGGCTGAGCTTTAAGCAATTCAAGATGGTCTTTGATATGCTATGCAATTTAACCTATTTCCCTTGGTTATCGAATCTGATTCACTTTTAACCATTTTAACTTTCAATCTAATCAGTGCCCAACTAGAGAATGAAGAGTCTTTTCCACTTCACGAAGCAAATGCTCCAGCAATGCTCTAATGTTACTTTGTCCACTGTGTTCGAGAAGCAATCCGATGTGTGGACTGCCTGACAAATCTTTTGGTTGTAAATATCTTTATAGGGATGCAAATGAACTCGATTGGATTCAAATTAGGGTATTATTCGAATCCAATCCAAATCGAAGATCCAATTGGATCTCATAAACATGGATTTGAATTCGAATATGATGAGGTAGTCAAATCTTTGAATCTAATTTGATTTTTTAAAAAATAAATAAATTATTAAAAGAAAAATAAAACATGATAGTTTAAATAAAGAAAAATAAAAAAATACAAGTACATTTTCAACTATTTTGATCATATATACTTATTTTTTATAAAAAATAAATAATATAATAAATTTGCAAAAGTGTAATATAAATAATATATTATAAATAAATAAATAGCATATATATATGTGTTATATATTTATATAAAATAAAAAAATAACATATATATTAAATCAGATCTTTTCGGATTGGATAGCGAGTGATCTAATATCTAAGATCCTATTATTCGATCCGAAGATCCAAAATGGGATTATTTGAATCCGAGATTATACGATCCAACTTTTGGGTCGGATCTGATTAAGATCCGATCCATTTGCACCCCCTTCTAAAATTTGCCTTCGGACACCGCTTTGGATGGTCAATGGTAAGAATAATATTACCAACTGCTCTCCTTTGACTAATATTTATTAGTCAAAAACCATGGAACCGGCTATGGGATTTTCAGCAGTTTTTTATTCTATATTACCAAGTGCTCGATGTGTGGCTCATAAAATAAGTTAATTTGCCACGTGTTCTGCATCAAAAGAGGGAGATCCACCACTGAATGGATCCCAGGCTCCCATCAGATTGAGTATATGTTTGTCATTGATGCTGTAGATACAGTTCTCAGAAATGTATGAATTGGAAGCACAGATTTTTGAGAAAAATAATATCTTTTTTTGTTTGAAAACGTTACTGTTACGTAGGGCATTTCCTGGAACAATAATAATGTTTTGCACTGGTAGAAACTTTTTCAACACCATTTTTTTTTGATGCCAAACAGACGCTGAGTCATTGAGAGAACAATGTATTGATTGTTATGCGTAAGAAAAGAGAAACAATAATTATTAAATCGGACGGCCACAAATTGAAGACACTTCTCCAGCGGAACCTTCAAATGATCTTGACTATGCAACACGTGGCAAGTTTATCCCATGCTGTGAATCCGTAACCCACCTGGAGTCCCAAAGGTGAAAGGCCAAAGCCCAAAGGTCGAAGCCAAGAGAATAGGGCGAATCTACAAATGTAAATAAAAGAACGGAGCTTTTAGTAATTACACATTTTCATTAACTTAAAGTTCATCAGATCTGCTTCTCTGTATCTCGTAGAGTAGAGTCCTAGAGTCGTAGATTTCTAGTTCAATAAAACGTCTGCAATAAATTTGTTTTGGTACACTTCTCATCTTCTTCCTCAGTCCAAAACGTCAACAAGATCTCTCTTTCTCTCTCTCTCTCTCTCTCTTTCTCCCTCTGGTGGTGTATGTATGTGAAGAAAGAAGAAACAGGTAGGAAAGAGGGATTTGTAGAGAGGTCAGTAATGGGTAAGACATCTGTAATCATCTACATAACAGTAGCTCTGCTGCTTCTCTTCCTCATCTCTTACTCTCCCAAAAGATCCCCAAGCCACCACCACGGCCGCCTCAAGCTCCGCTCAACCTTCACATTCTCCAACAGTGGTGGCGACAGACACCACGATCCCATCGCATTTGACCCACTTATCGCTGAAATGGAACGCCGCCGCGAGGATAAAGAATGGGAAAGAAAATATTTCGAGCATGCCCACAAGGAATTTGTGGAAGCTCCAGGTGAGGAGTCGCAACCCGAGTGGGAGGATTTCATGAACGCTGAGGATTACTTGAACGACGACGAGAGATTTAATATCACGAATAGGTTGGTTTTGCTGTTTCCGAAGATTGATATCGATCCGGTTGATGGGTTTGTGACGGAAAGCGAGTTGACGGAATGGAATTTGAGGCAGTCAGAGAAGGAGGTAATGCATCGGTCAGAGAGGGAGATAGAAGTTCATGATAAGAATCATGATGGGTTTGTTTCTTTTGCTGAGTATGAACCCCCCACTTGGGTGCGGAAATCAGGTCATCATTTGGGTTTTAGTTTAATTCCTTTATAATTTCTGCTGATTGAGAAGAGTTTATGGTGGAACTATTTTACCCTTTTCCAAAGATCAAGTTTCCATGCTTAATTACATATTATTTCTTATGTTCAATGTAGGTGATACCGTGATAGCTGGGCTTTAGTTATTATTTTTCTCATTTTTTCCCGAATTGACAGATTGTGCACGTCCTTTTAAGAATTATTTACTGCTTTTCCACTCTCGACAGTTTTTTTTTTTTCAATTCATTTTTGGTATGAAACTTTCCTTCTAGCACACAAATTAAAAAATTTTGGGAAAGCCCAAGTCAATTCAATAGAAGTTCCTGTGCAAATAATTTCTTTTATCAAGTCAATGAGTGAAGGAAATATTTGAATCAACTACCAGTGTAAGTTGGACCTGCTGTTCAAATTGCAAGACTTCATAATAAGAATACATGGGGTTCACCACTTCTGCCGTTATTAATCTTCTTTTGGAAGTTCAAGAGCAACTGGAAGGGGTTCCACTGCTTTTATTAGTTTTTCTTCAAATCTAAGCGGAGTGGTGAACCCCTTTTCTAGTTTCTCTTAGACTTTATAAAGGAGATAAACTCTGAAATCCTCCATTTCTTTAGGGTGTCACTCCAAATGGTTGTCCAATAGGTAAGTTTATTGATTCAGAAGCAACTTTAGAGTGAGTTCATACATCATCCCAACGAGAGGCATGAGCTGCAGCCCCTCCTTGAGTCTTACAAGTAAACTAGGAAAGAAAAACAATAATCACAACTGAGCCCAAAATAATTCTTCCCTATTTACCCCTTGCTTAGCTAACACATCTGACAAAGTATTTGCTGATCTCCCCTCCCACTGTACAGTGA